GCCACCTGCCCGCCGCGTCGCCCTGCCCGCGGCGTCGCCACCTGCCCGCCGCGTCGCCCTGCCCGCGGCGTCGCCACCTGCCCGCCGCGTCGCCCTGACCTAATCCGCCTCTCGCCCCTGGAGCAGCCGCCACTGCAGCAGCAGCCCCTGGAGCAGCCGCCACTGCAGCAGCAGCCCCTGGAGCCGCCCGCCACTGCAGCAGCAGCCCCTGGAGCCGCCCGTCACTGCAGCAGCCCCCTCTGGAGCAGCACGCACCTGCAGCAGCCGCCCCTGGAACAGCCCGCACCTGCAGCAGCCGCCCCTGGAGCAGCCCGCACCTGCAGCAGCCGCCCCAGTGGCACCTGGAGCAGCTGCCGTCGCGGCCCAGCCTCGCCCTGCCGCAGCTGCCGCGGAGCTCCCTGCTACGGCCCGGCCCAGCCCTGCAGTTGTAGCGGCCCCACTGTCGCCACCGTCTTGCGCCTGCCGCGCCGACCACTGGTGAGCATTGCCCAGTACTGCTGCAACTGCCTTTTCTACTCCCACTGCCACTGCTCCTGCTGTTACTACTGTTACTGCCGCTACTGCTACTACTGCTGCTCCTGACGTGGCCAGATGCAGCTCCAGGGCTGTGCGCGTGAGTCCCCCACGCCCCAGCAGCTTCGTGCGCGTGAGTGGTACGCTAGTCGGGGCTGTCGGGGTGGCCGTAGTGGTAGTCGCTCTGGAGTGGGTCGGTCGGGAGCTTCTGGTAGTGGACAGGTGCAGCTGCCGTGTCCTCCTTCGCCCCAGCTGCTTCGTGCGCGTGAGTGGTACGCTAGTTTGGGCTGTCGGGGTGGCCGTAGTGGTAGTCGCTCTGGAGTGCATCGGTCGGGAGCTTCTGGTAGTGGACAGGTGCAGCTGCCGTGTCCTCCTTCGCCCCAGCTGCTTCGTGCGCGTGAGTGGTACGCTAGTTTGGGCTGTCGGAGTGGCCGTAGTGGTAGTCGCTCTGGAGTGCATCGGTCGGGAGCTTCTGGTAGTGGACAGGTGCAGCTGCCGTGTCCTCCTTCGCCTCAGCTGCTTCGTGCGCGTGAGTGGTACGCTAGTTTGGGCTGTCGGAGTGGCCGTAGTGGTAGTCGCTCTGGAGTGCATCGGTCGGGAGCTTCTGGTAGTGGACAGGTGCAGCTGCCGTGTCCTCCTTCGCCCCAGCTGCTTCGTGCGCGTGAGTGGTACGCTAGTTTGGGCTGTCGGAGTGGCCGTAGTGGTAGTCGCTCTGGAGTGCATCGTTCGGGAGCTTCTGGTAGTGGACAGGTGCAGCTGCCGTGTCCTGTCAGTGAGGCTGCCGCTCTAGGTGCTAGTACGTCTGTTGCCCTAGGTGCTGGTGAGGCTGCTACTCTAGGTCCTAGTGAGTCTGCGCCCCCTGGTACTGAGTCGACTGAGGCCCTGCACACCTTCACCCTGGACTCAGGTGCTTCTCGCTGTTTCTTTCGTGACCGCACTGCCCTTGAGCCGCTTGCTCGGCCAGTTGCTGTCTCCCTCGCTGACCCCTCTGGGGGTCCGGTCATTGCGACCTCCTCCACTGTTCTTCCCTGTCCTGCGGTCCCGTCTGGCACACTGTCAGGTCTCTACCTCCCCTCGTTCTCTACGAACTTGGTGGCGGGTCGTGCGCTCCAGGACGGGGGTGTTCACCAGTTCACCCCTGCCTTAGAGGGTACACAAACTTAGGGTTTCATACTTGTACCCACCTTCCTGCTAGTTCATCCATTCTCGTTCTATTCTAGATTCTAACGAGAGAGAGAGAGAGAGAGAGAGAGAGAGCGAGAGAGAGAGAGAGAGAGAGAGAGAGAGAGAGAGAGAGAGAGAGAGAGAGAGAGAGAGAGAGAGAGAGAGAGAGAGAGAGAGAGAGAGAGAGAGAGAGAACGAGAGAGATGGAGAACGAGAGGGGAGATCGAGAGAGGGAGAACGCGAAAGGGAGAACGCGAGGGAGAGAACGGCAAAGGGAGAACGCGAGGGAGAGAACGGGAGAGAGAGAGAACGGAAGAGAGCGAACGTGAGAAAGAGAACGGGAGAGAGAGAGCGGGAGAGAGAGACAGAGAGAGAGAGAGAGCGGGAGAGAGAAAACGGGGAGAGAGAACGGGAGAGAGAGAACGGGAGAGAGAGAACGTGAGAGAGAAAACGGGAGAGAGAGAGAGAACGGGATAGAGAGAAATGGGAAAAAGAGAACGAGCAAGAGAGAACAAGAGAGAACAAAATGGACTAAACATGCAGCCTATTATAATCGTTGTGTACAACCTAAGACGAGGTTGAAAAAAAAAACAAACTAAAACATGCAATTATGAAGAAAAGGAAACCGACGAAATGAAAACTAACGATGAAGAATAGAAGATACGGATGCAAGATTATACGGGAAGAAACGAAATCTTAAAAAAAAAAAACCAGAACTTGAAATTTCTACGAAGGGCCTAGAACCTAAGTTTAAACGACTAAGTCTAGCTAATAGTAAACCGTTAGAATACGAGATAACTAAATGTTAGTCTTATCTAATAGGCATCTAACTTAGTTGGAGTTAGAGCTCAATGTTCTCACCTTAGTTGGAGTTAGACTAGGCTGAGTTGGTAGAGCGTGACCAGCGAGAAGAAGAGAGGGAGGGAAAACAAGAGACCCACGAAACCCTGAGGGTGTTGGTGTTCATCGCGTTTTATTATTACGATTACTTTTAATTACGCATTCCAAACGTCTGTGGTGTCGTAGTCGGTAAGATTTCGACTAAAATCGAAAGGAATAGGGTTCGATTCTTACAAGGCGCAATTTTGTAAACTTCAACCTGAGTTACATACTCGGTATTAAAGTTAAGCCATCCATCGAAAACAAGATCTATACTTGGTATTATAAGTCGTACAATGTGTGTTAACTTTGCAAAGCGCTTCGCAACCCTAAGACGATCTCGTCGCCTCTTGTTTTTTTTTTTTTTTATGCGAGAAGGTACACTAAAAAGATAATGTACAAACACATCATGCAGTCGTAACTGTGTCTGGAGGGAAGGGCCACAGCACCGTGTACTGCGGATTCCCTATAGCGAACCTAGGGTGGTTGATGAGTCATCCTTGGGTTGTCCCAGATAGAGCTGAAATTGTGCCTCCACGTCAGCGGTGTTCCTTTGCTGCATATCCGCTTCATCACAACCGCCTCATCCGCCGCCAAGTGCTTCCAGTCATCATCACAGGCAGCCACGCCGTGTTTCCGTGCCGCCACTTGCCTCGCCAAACAATACACCCTGGCGTGCGCGACAAATTTAACCACTGCCTGCCGTATCACTTTCTTTGGTTGGAGTTTGATACCCTGGCGACTTGCGTTGCATCTTGCCAGCCACACCTGGTGCAATGTGGTAGCAATGAACGAGCTTTCCGGAAAACCCGACTTCGTGCTTCTCTTCATGAAAAGCAAGTCCTCCAGCCCTTGCCAGCTCAACTGTGGGTTCATCTCGCCAGCCCTCTCCGCAGAAACCGAACTACCCTTTGAATCGCCGGGCAGCCAAACAGGCAATGCTCCGGTGTCTCCTCCGCCTGACAGTGTGGACAAACCACTCTTTCTTTCAAAAAGAAAAGCCGCTCCCCCACTTGCAGGTTCCTACAGTGCAACCTCAACAGAACTTCTCTTGCCCGAGCAGGGGTGGCTAGAGAGTCCCTCTGTTTGATGACTCCCTTCCACTCGATCACCCTCCTATCCCCAATCCACCTCCGCTGCTCCCTCACCGTGCCTGCCGAGCTAACCAGCTCCTTCCTAATCTCTTTCAGTGGCAGCACCACCCCGTCCTTGCCTAGCTTGGAATGCAGACACTTCGTCCGCGCTTCACCCATCAGCCCCAGCACCTTCTCCCCCGCAGCTGCCACCGGCTCCCCGCTTTGCAGCCCGAAGTGGACCGGGTGTTTACCGCTCCCGACTGTGAAAGATCCACCAGCGCCTTCATGACACAGCACCCCCACCACCTTGCCGTTGTCCGTGCCGCTAACTTTCCAGAGTGTAGGGCGTGAAGCCCCATTCCTCTGATGCCGCAGCAGATGGACTTTAGCCGCGATCTCTCCGCTCGTCAGGGTTTCCATCAGTAATTCCCTCCATCTGGCCGGCGCCGCCTCGAAGGCTTTCCGAGCCAGCCTCGCCGTCTCTGTGCTCCCGAGCTCGCTTGCCAGAGCGGCTTCGCTTTTCAGCTCCCGCGAGCCATCCTCCCTTCGCCAGATCAGGTCGCCCATCATCAGCCCCAGTAAGCGTAGCGAGCCTTTCTGATTCCCGAAAGGGCTGCTCCCCCGGAAAGGTATGCGTCTGTTGAAAGCCAGCTGCTCTCGCTCCACCTCCCAGCGATTCTCTGGTTCCGGTGTGGCGCAGAAAGGCGATTTCCAAAACGCTTGCACCATATCCTTCCACCGCTTGCTGCCCTTCGTCCAGTGCTTCAGCAGGGAGTGGTGGGCGTAAATCGTATCCGGGCCCAAGGGCATCTCCGCCGCCTGTTCCATCAGCCACCTCTTGACTGAGGTTGCTTGCAGCATCATGCGCCCAACGTTCTGCACCGCTATGCTGTCAAACCGTTTCTTGGGGCAGATCATCCCCAGCCCCCCCTCCTCCCTTGGTGTGCAGATCAGCTCGTAGTTCCAGAGAACGAAGGTATTCTCGTCCGTCGCCTCGCCTCCCGACACGAAGTTGTGACAGATCCTCTTGATCTTGGTCCATACCTCCTCCGGCGGCGGGTAAATGTAGGCTTGAAACATGAAAATGGGCGAGATATTGCCGTTGATTATCGTGACCCTTGCCGACGTGGTTAGGTGCTGAATTTCCCACTTGGCTAATTCCTTTCGTGCCCTGTCCAACGCCTTTTCCCAGGACGGGAGTGGATCACCGTTCAGGGTGATCCAGACACCCAGCAGCCTCTCCGGTGGATCCTTATCAGCCCATTTGTACTGCAGGCCCGCCGGCGGGAGTCTCCCTCTGTTTTTCCCGAGCGGGAACACCACCATCTTGTCCTTGTTAACCTTCAACCCCGATACCTCCCCGAAATTTTACAGTGCTTCCGCAGCGGCTGCCAGCTGTTCTTCTCCGTGTAGCAGGAGCGACGTGTCGTCGGCGTATCCCAGATACGCCAGCCTCTCCGCTCCCCCGTCTCCGACACCCAGCCTCCGCTGCTCAAACTCCTGGCAGAGCGGTTCCACCGCGCACAAGAACAGGTATGGTGCCAGCGGGCAGCCTTGCCGAACCCCCCGTTCTACTGCAACTCTGTCGCCTGTCCAACCGTTAATGTGCAGTCTCGTTCCTGCTCCTGTATGCAGACCCTCTGCCCACGACACAAAGACTTCCGGAACTCCCATCCCTCGCAGCGTGCTGAAGAGGAAGGGCCTCGAGATGGAATCGAAGGCCTTCTGGAAATCGACCATCAGCAGAAACCAATCTTTCCCGCCAGTGGCCCCTGCCTCGATTGCGTCAGCCACCACCGCAACAGCGTCTGCCAGCTTCCGCCCTGGTAAGAAGCCCACCTGTTCCTCCGAAATCACCTCGTGCAACACCTTCTTAAACCTTGTCGCCATTACTTTCGCCAGTACTTTGTAGACCGTGCTCAGCAACGTGATTGGCCTATAGTTCCCTAACTCCTCCTTGCTCCTCGTCTTGTGCAGCAGGATTGTGACCGCGGTTGATATATCTCGAGGAAGCTCCGCCGACCGCGTGAAGTCACCGACAAATTTCATCAGCACAGGGCCGAGCAGGTCCCAGTTGTGTTCGAAGAGTTCCTTGGGAAGGCCGTCTTGCCCAGGTGACTTCCCTGGGGCCAGCTCTCGCACCGCCGTCCGAACTTCTTCCTCCGACCATGGCGCGCTGAGGGCATTACGGCTGGCTTCACACAACGTCCGGCGCATGACTCTCGGCTCTGAGTTGCTTGTCTCCGCACTCCCGCCGAATGAGTCCCTGAAAAAATCTGTCGCCGCTGCAAGAACCTCCCTTGCGCCCGAATGGGTTTTCCCCTTGAAAGTAACAGCTGACATCTCCGTTTTTGCCTTGCGCACCTTCACTTTCCCAGACAGGAAACCTGTTGTTGCTTCCCCGTCCAGCTCTGCCTTCACCCCAAGCCACTCCTGCAGCTTTTCCTGGTGACTCCTTTCATACGCGTCAAGCAGCTCCTCTTTTTGAGCAGAATTGCTCCCGTCCGCTTGCAATTCGGGTTCTGTGACAGCCGCTGCCTGAAGATCTTTATCTCCCTTTCCAAGTGCCTTTTTGTTGCCCCGACCCTCTTTTTTTCCTCTCTTGTGCACGCCCGCAGACACGCCGTCAGCCTGGGCAGCATCGCACCGAGATCACCGCCAGCATCCTTAAGCACCCGTTCCACCCGATTTCTGACCCCTCTCTTCTTTGCCTGAGCAGCCATGAGCCGCCAGATGCCGGGACCCCTGTCGACCGCTGCCGATGACTCTAGCACCACCACCACCGCACTCCAATGGCCTGTCATTTTATTCGTGATATCTGCATGCCGTACCTCCACCAGCTTGCATAACAGCGGCTGCGACACCAGCGCGCGGTCAATTCTGGTGCTCACCCCCTTTGACCTCATGTGGAACGTGTACTCCCTCTTTCCAGGGTGCGCATAGCGGAATGCATCGGTAAGCGGGGTGTTCGCCCAGAATCCCATCAGCCTCCGATTTTCTGCCGACGACCCTATTCCCGTCGATTTGTCCAGCGCTGGATCTTCCACCACGTTCAGATCACCAATCACTAGGACGTTCGTCAGCTTTGGTAAGGTGCTTAAAAAGGGGCCCAGGCAGTCCCTGTAGAAAGGAGCTCTGCTCTCCGGTTGCGCCGGTGAGTACATCGCAACTAGGAGCAGCTCTAAATCTCCCAAGCGGACCACCACCCCTACCAGCCTCCCTGATGCATGTGTGTATACGTCTGTGAAAACCATCCCAGGTACGAAGCTCACCACCGCTACGCCTCCTGCCGACCCGGCTGGCCCCACGGCCACCACCGCAGACGGCTTCAGTTGGGTCCAGAAATTATGATCAGCCGGAATGCGCGTGTCTGTAAGTGCTGCTATGTCCGCCTTATTCCTTAGCCAGTCTTTGCATTTCCCTTGCTTCCCTGCACTGCCGAGCCCATTGATGTTGAGCTCGCAAAACCTGATCGAGTTCTTCTTATTCATTTAAAAACAGGTGAGGAGCCCCTTCGCATCCACGGGCTGGGAAACTGATACAGATCTCCTGATACACACGTGCCGCTGACATCGACCGCAACATGAAACTGCACACCACTGGGACTACTACTACAACCGACACAACTTGAGACGATCGATGAGCTATCATCTTCCTCCCCTTCGTGACCCCGCAGATGCGTAGCACTGGGACAACAGCAACCGGCGATCACTTGGCAAACTCCTTGCGAAACGCTCCCAAGTTGAGAGCACCCTTGCTGGCGCGAGTAGCAGCACCTGGCTTGGTCAGGTTCGTCTTGTCACGGAGTGAAGCGACGTGAGCAGACGCCTGCTCGAAACTGGCACCCTGCGCTTTGTCGCATGCAGCGATCACACACACCCAATCTTCCCGCGACCCCCCTGTGGAGGTGAGAACAATAGCCGGATCCTTGAGGATGTCTTTCGTTAACGCTGTGACTTTCAGCGATGCAGCTGCGAGGAGGGATTTGAGCCGGAACGTCAGTGAGAGTTGAAGGAAAAGACAGGAGCAGTAAAGGTGAGAAAAGCAAAAAACTGATACCGTTGATCGCATGAACCTTTGCAACAGACAAGGTCCATTTGCCGATGCTGGACTGACGCTCCGTAACATAAGCGTTGTGATACTGCGTCTGATGCTGACCCTTGCAGTAACCGCAGGTGAGTGCCGGGTAATGAACCAACAACTTCCTTCCGGGGTTCGACAGATCAGCAACCGCGTGACGCCATGGATCATCGTTGTTTGCGTGCTCAATCACCAGACCTCGAACTTTGTCGGTGTCGATGCCAGTAACAGGATCCTGCACCCTGTGGAAACCCACACCTTTGCTGAACGCAGGCTTCCCCTTCTTAAGCAGCGCGACCTCCGTCAGCATCTTGCAGATCAGCTCTGGAGAGACACCAGCCGGAACAGACTTCAGCAGCACTTCCACCGCATTCGGGTTCTGCTGGCGCTCCTTCCGGTAAGTTGCGTTCTCCGGGTGCTGCCAGTTAAGCGTCAGGGTAACACCCTTCCCCACATCATGCTCGATGGAGCATCGCCAGACGGATGCTGCATCGCTTGGTAACCTGAAGCCGACCATATCTCTTCTTTGAAAGCCAGACCAGCAGCATCTCCTGGTACTTTGTGGTCGTCTGCGCGTCGGCCGTCAGCGAAGCCTTCCAATGATCCAGGTGCGCCATGACCGTAGGTTTCAGCTTCGGGACCTCGCTCTCCCACTGAATCGGGATCAGGAGCGTAAGCGGGAAGCTGACTTGAGACGCGAGCAGACTGACCGCCGACGGATCAAAATCATCTTCGTCATCGCTGTCCCAGCAAACATCTTCATCCTCATATTTACTGCCACCCTCAGCCATTGTAGCCGTCGCAGATGCCATTGTCGCCGGGGATGGTGAAACGCCAGCCGACGTACTCCCCTGCGGATGCTGAGTCTCATTGTCGTCCTCATTGTCCTTAAGCCCGTTGACCTTCAGTGCAGACAGACGCTCCTGCAAGGAGATCTTCGCCGCATCACCCAATACGTCGGACACCGCCGCCTTGGGGAGAGGTGAGGCTTGCGCAGACACCAGCGGACTCTTCTCAGGGGAGCGCTCCGCGCTGGTCAGAGGAGAGTTACCCGCAGTGCCGTTAACCTTCCCTCCAGTCTTCCCACCACCCCGTCCATTGCGTCGACCACCAGCCATTGTGCAATGATGAGAAAGGAGGGACAAGCTCGAGCTGTAGCTTGATAACACACCTCCTCTGAGCACGAATATGAAACATCTCGTAACAATACACTTGCTTATGTAGGTAGAAGTAGTTGCGTGGCTGTTGTGGAAGTTGCCTGTGCCATTGGTAGTTGAGCAGATCTCGTGGGAAAAAAACGATCCCAATGAACTGGATAACAAAAGCCGCAAATCAGGCGGGTCAGGATCGAGAAGCCAAACATCGCCTGCCTGTCTGAAACCGAGACGCCATGACACTACCAAGAAGCTTGATAAGGCATGAACCTCGATAGTTCCTGCGACTAGGTAAGAATCACCAATGTTCACTGTATGAACACAATAAAGGTATCCTCTTAAAGCGCTAGCCGAGCTGAACTCTAAGATTCTAGAAAAAAATGCCATCAGGCTGGAAATTGATAGACATTGGGCGCGTCGAAGTTAAAGCAGAAGCCATGGCGGACCTATACTGTGTCTCGTCAATGTCGACTCGACAGTAACGAACTTCTCAATACTGCAGTTGCCCGACGAGGCGAAGAAATCTCGATGCAGGGCCAAATTCAGGTCAACCCTCTTCTAGCACATACGCGCCTCGCCACGCCGTGTTGCGAAGCCCCGTGGATGGTATTGAGGGTAACAACGCGGCTTCGTCTCAGTCAAATGGCCGTCGCCAAGATTTGGCGATGTTCAAGCGCGCCGGCGCAACTCGGCTGCTGCCCGGGGTTTCATCACTCAGCACATCACGTGCTGCTTGCACACAAACACAATTATTGCACACCCTGCTGTGCTGCGTTCTCGGTTTTGGCCTTCGGCACGCCATATTGTCCGCGATCTGCTTCGAGTATTTTACGCAAACGTGGATGTTCAAGCGCTCGCCATCCAACGTAGCTTCAAAAGTTGACACCTGCCAGGTTAACTTTCAGTAGCACTAGCAGCGGCTCCGCCTCTCCCAAACCTAGAGCCTCACGCCCGCACTCCCACCACCAATGACGGCCAGAGGCAGTTCCCTCCTAGAAATCGCGCTTCTCCTTTCATTCACGTGTCAATGCCTCGCCATTCGACCTCACCGTAGTAAGCCACGTCACACCTTCCTTGCTCCTGCCTGAATTGATCTCTTACCTAGATCCGGTTCGACTGCTCGCAATAATATTCTTTCGCAACAGTCATCCTTTTCCCACCCCCGTTCCTTTCTCGCTTAATCTGATCCGTCGCTCCTCTCTCCCTCCACCCTGCGCCGACCGCAGCGCCCTCCCCCAAGTCCACGTCACTCTATATCGTGCGTCTGCGCTCCGCCCTTCCCCTCGCCGCGTATCGGGGCGGAATAGCGAGCTTCCCGGGATGGATGGACGACGTCGACGACGACGAATCTGCCGGTCCGTCTGGTCTGCAGGCGACGGTGGAGACGGTTGCGCACGAAGCGGCGACGCTGGCCGGCAGAATTCCGCGGCGCGCGCGGCTGAGCTTGGAGAACCCGCAGCTCAAGGCGTACGCGCAGATGCTGGAGTCGCAGCAGATGCGAATCGCGTCTGACGTGGGCGTGACGTCAGACAGCATTGTGTACAAGTACGTGAGTGAGATTGTCACGAGTAGGGCCGAAACTAGGAGAGCAGCTCGCCTGTTTGAGAGCCTCCGTTACATGGCTTCCCAGATCAACCACCGCACCACTGGGTTCAAAATCAAAGGCTTTGGGAAACCTACAACAACTTTCCGTCATCAAAACTGTCCCACTTGATTCCGTGCCCAAAGCCCTCGTTCCCATCACTTCCTCAATCTCTTCAAACCCCCTTCACCCCCACTCTCCCCCCTCCCCCAGCTACGTGCACGCGAGCAACGGGTTCGCAGCCACCCTCTCCCCGCAGCAGGTGCGGCTGCTGCAGCGGCACCCGGCAGTGGCGGCAGTGACGCGCAGCCGCAGAGTGACGCCGCTCACCATCGACTCGCCCACCTTCCTCGCCATGCGCGCCACCGGGTCGCTGTGGCCCGCCAACGGCGGACAGGCGAGGGCGGGCGAAGGGATGGTGGTCGGCGTAGTGGACTCGGGCATCTGGCCCGAACACCCCTCTTTCAGCGACGCGGGCTTCCCCTCCTCGCGCCCCGCCGGCTGGACGGGCAAGTGCGACGCGACGAGCGAGTTCAAGTGCAACAATAAGGTCATAGGCGCGCGGGGGTTCTACAAGGGCTTTAAGGAAGACACCGGTGGGCCGGACCTGTCGAAAGACTGGCTATCGCCTCGCGATTCGTGCGGTCACGGCACGTGGTGTGCAGGGTACTTCAAGTGCACCTACCCTCCCTCGCCGCCCTCCTCCCCCATTCGCCCCCCTTTCCTTCTTCCCCCCACTTGTCTTTCCGCTGCACGGTCTCCGCCTGGGCTTTGACATGCTTCAGGGCTGGACCTTCGCAGGTTAACCCTTTGTGAAACTACGTCCTCTCCCCACTTGTGAGAAGCTAGTTAGCTGCCCCACTCGTGAAATCCTTGAGCTGATGCAGGTTCTCATGCTCCTCCTCTTAAACCAACCACCACCCCACCCCTTCTTCCCTTTTCCCTTCTCCCCTGCAGCGCAGCAGCGGGCAACAGGGACGTGCCCATGGCGGGCGGCAGGGCGAGCGGCATGGCGCCAGCAGCGCGCCTGGCGGTGTACAAGGTGCTGTGGTACGCAGAGGGCTCCTTCTTTGGCGTATCAGCGGACATGGAGGCGGCCGTCAACCAGGCCGTGGCGGACGGCGTGGATGTGCTCTCGCTCTCGCTGGGCGGCGTGGATCTCACAGAAACCTACTTCTCCCACATGCCCTACCTCGCTGCTAACCTCGCGGGAATGCTCGTGGCGTTCGCCGCAGGGAATGGTGGCGCTCCAGGCTATGACCCAAGCGGTTACCGCACGATTGAAAACTTCTCCCCGTTCTACCTCACAGTGGGGGCAAGGTGAGCGGATAGGCGGGTACCTGCACGCGGGTTTGCGCCGGATGCACCCAGCGAGCAGCTTCTCCTCACTGCTGAACGCCCCTTGCCACGACTCCTGCTTGCTCAGAGTAATCGTCCACAATCACAATCCCCCTCTCATTCCACCTGCCCTTCTCCTTTTCTCTGCTCCCTCATCCTCTTGCAGCACCATTGGCCGAGGTGGTATAACCCTGAAGGCCGCTACACCGGCAGGCGCACCTCACAGCAACTCATCAACGACCCCTGCAGCCACGGCCTACCCTGCCGTGGCCGATTTCTCCTCCACCGGACCCCTCAGGGACCCTTCCACTGACACCCCCGCCACTCTCCCCACCAACAGCATATTAAAGCCCGACATTGTGGGCCCGGGCGTGGATCTCTACGCTGCATGGCCGGCTGAGAAGGTGGGCAGGCCGGGCAGCTACGCCCAGCTGTCAGGGACGTCCATGTCAACGCCCCACTTGGCGGGCATTGCGGCTCTCATCATGCAGAAGCACCCCTCGTGGAGCCCCGCACAGGTCATGTCGGCCATTATGACCACCGCCAAGACCACCGACACCAGCGGTGCTGCCATCGATAATGGATATGGTGAGGCTGCTACGCCGTGGGAGATGGGGTCTGGCCATGTGTTCCCACCCAAGGTGCTGGATCCTGGCCTCACATACGACGCCCGGGCAGCTGCTTATAGGAATTTTCTAGCCGGGCAGAGTATGAAGCAGGCATGGAAGCACTTCCCAGGTGCTAAGCTGACTGCGAGTGCTCCTCGTGAGTTGAACCGTCCAAGTATCTCAATCTCCCGGTTAAAAGGGACAGTGACAGCAAACAGGACAGTTACCAACGTTGCTGATTCCTCCTCCACATATACAGCTAGCATCAAGCCTCCCAACGGAGTCTCCATCACGGTTTCACCCAACAGATTTACAATTGCTCCTGGTCAAAGGGTAACTTTCATGGTGACCTTCAAAGTGATCAATACGTTTGAGAGCTTCCAGTTTGGAAGCCTAACATGGGCCGATGGTAATGGGCACTCAGTGAGAACAGTACTTGCGGTTCAACCCATAAATAAGTGACTTGATTGGTAGTATATACTATTGTATGTAAAACATCAGGTGTATTTCAGACTATGCTTATCAATAAGCATAGGCAAGTAAGGAAAATGTACTGTTTGGCTTAGATTGTCTTTGTTAGTTCACTCAATTCCACTCGTAACAGTGATCTTTGTGGGCTGGGCAGGCGAGTCTCGCTGTAGGTCCATTGGAGCTTGTAACACAAAGGAGCACCGACACTGGTTGACGCGCTGTGATGAGCTTGGGGGAGGTGATGCGCAACAGGGAAGCTGGCTGGGCTTTGTTTGTTGGGAAAGCGAAACTGGCAGTCGGGTGCGGTGGGCTACGGCAGGTGTTGATTGGGGAAGTGCAGATGTGTGGACATGTTTTTCGCCTGCCTCGCCAGACTTCGCAATAGGGAGAATTGGGACTGCAGTGGGGAAGAAGAAAAAAAGCTTATTGACATTTCGAAAATATCTCACCAAGGGACGGATGTCAGCGCGATAAGCTGTGGGAATAACGGTTGCGATGAAAATAGGGGCTTGTATCCTGTGGGCAACTGGCCATGCTGAATTGCAATTGGGGAGGCAAAAGCGGATGGGCAGAGCAGATTTGTGTGCATTGGCTGGGGCATACGACAGTCGAGTTCGCGAATGTACCCTGTGGACCTCAGCGTTGGGAACTTGGGGGGGGCTTGGGGAAGAACACGGGGCGCGCATGCAGGCCTTGTGAATCCAAACCGAAGCGCGCAACTGCGAGCCGCGTAAATTGTTGAATTTCCACCCCCCCACTAGACTGAGCCCATCCGAGAGAGAGTGAGAATCCCAATCAGCTAGATATATTCCCCCAGCCCGTCACATCCATCACCAAACAAACAGCAGCTTCAATCAATCCTTTCCTCAGTTCAACCCCCAAACATCAAGCTATGGCTAGGTTCTACATTCCATTCTTGGCTTTGGTTCTCGTTTCTGCTCTGCTTGTGCCAAATATATCCGGAGCGGATGCCCAGTCGTACTTGGCGATCAAGGCGCAGGCGGCCCGAAAGGCTGCCAACGACGCGGAAGCGGTGACGAATGCAGCGCTGGCGGATTACAACATCAAGCTCAACGCGGAGGCTGCAATTCAGAAGATCATTGACGACGCGAACGCTGATTTGAATAACGCCCAGACGAATCTGACGGCTAAGAAGAAGCAGCTGGACGACGCGAAGGTCAAGGCTGAGCCAGCACGCCAGGAGATGATGAAGCAACGAGCAGCGAGGAAGGCGGAGCAGGACTACCACGACGAGCTTCAGCAGCAAGCGGCGGAGTCGGACATCGACGCGGCAGAGCTGGAAAGGGACCTCGTCCCCGCGCAGCAGCAACTGGACCTCGCCAATCAGCTGCTCGCCGACCAGATCCTCATCGCCCAGGAGGCCACCGCCGACTCCACCTACTACGCGCGACGCGCCGCGAAGCTCAAGACTCCAGAGGCGCAGGCAGAGGCCGCCGAAGCGCAGTTAACCCGAGCTCGGGCGAATCGCATCCAAGGGGCGCTTGCGAGGCAGGTGGCGCTCGCGAAGGATGCCTTGGAGTCGATGCAGGCCGACTTGGCGTTCGCGTTGAAGGACAAGGTCGACACCAAGAAGGCAGTGGCAGATCACGTGCCCGACCTGAACAAGGCGAAGAAGGACGCCGCAGACGCGGAAGCGACGTACACCAAATACATGAACGACATGAAGACGCTGCCCGCTGTTATCAACCAGCTCACGGCCGACGTCAAGGTGAAGACGCTAAACGCGGCTAAGGTCACCAAGGATAACAAGGTGGCACTCGGGCAGGCTGCTTCCGCTCGCGCTCAGGCCGAGACCATTTACAAAAATAAGAAGGCGAGGTCCGACGCGCTCAAAGCTGCTGCGGACCAGGCGGAAGCGGACTCCGCGGCTTACGACAAGGCCCACTCCGTCAACTGGAACAACGGCAAAGGCCAAGCGTAAACCAATCATTCATGATATGGCACACGCTGGCGGGTCGGAAACTTGCGGATTAGCTAATGCCTGGGGCTAGTTGTTGCCCTCCTAGGAGCTCTGCCCAAGGTTGTTTGTTAGGGCTGCGCATTCTGGGAAGATAAAAGGCATTGTAAGGTTCTTATTAATCTTGTTCATATATTACATCATCATTGAGCTTCGAGAGAGAAAAAAAAAAGAACACCATCAACCCATCAACTCGTGCAACTCTTGTATCCCGACCAGTGGCCTGGCTACCTTGGCTGATTCACTCATGCCTGCCTGTAGGCTGTTGCACACGCCTCACCCGCTCATCCAAGTGCCTCAATCAGCCCTTCGCCCTCACAGCTCTGTGCCTCCACTTGGATTCAAGTATGGTAGACCCGCAGAGGAGGAGCAGCCACCTGATGCTGGCTTGCCGTAGCGTTGACTCAAAAATTTGTGAATAACAATATCTTCCGTTTTCTGTACTCATAACGGTTGCCAAACTGGTGCACAGTTTTCAAGTGCATGTGGGTCTGAAAAGGTGGAGAGCACAAGCAATGATTTCCAGTATTTTTGCCACATATTTTACAGTGATAGATCAAGAATTCTTATTCTGCACAGCATGAAATTTCATCAAGAAACCGCAGAAGATGAGAGGCTACAGGTTTTCAAGAATAATCCTGTGGGCGCACACGCACGCAGTGGTGCAGTACTGGAAGGCGAGGCGGGAGAAGGGCGTCCTGCCCGCCAGCGATGCACCGCACGAGTCGCAGCAGCTGCCTGCAGCAGAGCTGGCGGGGGACGCATGGTGGGCCGTGGCAGGCGCAGCGGTGCCCCCTGCCAGCTGCTGCACACGCCTCTCCGCCGCTGCTGCCCTCTCCTCCCTCTCCCTCGCCCTCCTCTGCTCCTCCTGCTCACCACACACCACACAGCACACAGCACAGGCACGGTCCATGAGTGCAGGCGCGTCAACAAGCCAGCGAGGGCAAGCAACATGGTCAACATTTGCATGAGTGGCAGCAGGAGGCTTGAGCAGGCAGTGGTTACACTCAAGGCGACACGGTGACTGGAGCACGCGCGGGTGGAGCACGTGCAGGAGGGGCACGTGCAGGTGGAGCACGTGCAGGAGGGGCACGTGCAGGTGGAGCACGTGCAGGAGGGGCACGTGCAGGTGGAGCACGTGCAGGAGGGGCACGTGCAGGTGGAGCACGTGCGGGTGGAGCACGTGCAGGTGGAGCACGTGCAGGAGGGGCACGTGCAGGTGGAGCACGTGCGGGAGGGGCACGTGCAGGTGGAGCACGTGCGGGTGGAGCACGTGCAGGTGGAGCACGTGCGGGTGGAGCACGTGCGGGTGGAGCACGTGCGGGTGGAGCACGTGCGGGTGGAGCACGTGCGGGTGGAGCACGTGCGGGTGGAGCACGTGCGGGTGGAGCACGTGCAGGTGGAGCACGTGCGGGTGGAGCACGTGCGGGTGGAGCACGTGCGGGTGGAGCACGTGCGGGTGGAGCACGTGCAGGTGGAGCACGTGGAGGGCGAAGGGAAGCACGCAGAGAGGGAGAGGAAGGCAGCACAGAGGCATGCGGCTTACAGTCTCCGCAGGCAATGCGGGTGCTGGCGATGGCGCTGATGGCGCGCACTGGTGGAGGGCTTGCTGCTGCTCGGGGCACGGGGTTGGTGAGGGAGAGGTGAGGGGCGAGGACGGGTTGCACAGAGAGAGATGCGTTGCAAGGACTGGAGAGAAGGGCACGGATGAGGATGGAGGTCGGAAGCGACACAGGGATGAGGTGTAAGGGACGAGCAACCCACCAGCAACCCATCACGTGGAGCAACCCATCACGTGGAGCAACCCTCCCCGCCATCTATCCCGCCTAGAAAGTGTGTGATTCAGACCACTAAGCATTCCCTCCCTCCCCATCCCCACCTTGCGTTCCCTCTCCTCCTGCTTCTTCCTCTGCCTCCTCTCCTTCTCCTTTGCTTTCTTCTTTGCTTCCTTCTCCGCCTGCCATCCCCACCACGTGCACCAGGCAAGGCAGCACAAGGGGGAAATGCAGAGAGGCAGGGCGAAGGTGCTTTCCGGTGAGAGCGAGGCCGATGCATCATGGCATGGGGTGAGAGCAAGGCCGATGCATCATGGCATGGGGTGAGAGCGAGGCCGATGCATCATGGCATGGGGTGAGAGCGAGGCCCATGCATCATGGCATGGGGTGAGAGCGAGGCCGATGCATCATGGCATGGGGTGAGAGCGAGGCCGATGCATCATGGCATGGGGTGAGAGCGAGGCCCATGCATCATGGCATGGGGTGAGAGCGAGGCCCATGCATCATGGCATGGGGTGAGAGCGAGGCCGATGCATCATGGCATGGGGTGAGAGCGAGGCCGATGCATCATGGCATGGGGTGAGAGCGAGGCCCATGCATCATGGCATGCGACGAGCAGTGCGTGGCATGGTGAATGGTGCATGGGGAGTGGGGGATGGGGTTTGGGAAATGGGGTATGGGTACGGGGAATGGGGGATGGGGAATGGGGTAGGGTATGGGTACGGGGCATGGGGCATGGGGGCAGGGGATATGGGGTATGGCATGGGGCATGTGGCATAGTGTGTGGCGACAGCATGACACCACGATCATCGTACCAGGCACTGACTCTAGATAATCTAAGGTCACTTGAGTACAATTCTTGCTTTTCACCTGCGCTCAACGTACTCTAGTAAAGTTGAGGTTGGATGTGCACGACTTTGTTCTCTCTTGTTTCTCCTCGACTTGTCTTGAAACGACCAGGCTTCCAATCCTACCCTTGAGAGCCCCACCCACCGCACTGCTCTCCTCTCATCCCTCTTCCCCCCACCTGCCGGGCGGCCTGGGACGCCTCGAGCTCCTCAGTGAGCGCGGAGGGAACGGCAGCGGCGTGCCAGTCCCACTGGTGGGGATGCAGCGCCATGTGGCGACGGAAGGCGTCCCTTGTGGCCTTGTTAGCCGCCACCACGTACGCCACTCGCCCCCTGCCGTCCCGCTGCGTGGGGTCATCGCCCTGCTGCAGCAGCCGAGTCACCTCCGCATGGTTGCCTGGCAGGACGGGAGGGGTGTGGCCGTGGCATGAGCGCATGGCGTGGGGTGAGAGAGAGCACAGAGGAGAGGAGGAAAACAGAAGACCCAATGCAGCGGGGTGCCTTTGTGGTGGGACACATGGTGTTGTGAGAAGGATGTGAACCATGCGGACCAACCTTGAAGCCACCCACTGCATCTTGCTGCCCAGTGAGTCACGACTCACACCACACCTGCAATTCCCTCCACACACCCTTTATTCCCACCCACGCACGCACGCACCCACCCACGCACGCACCTGCAGCAGCTGCCACATGCAGTGCCGTTCTATTCCATCCTTGCCTCGCTGCCTCCTTCCCCTCCACCTCCCCTCCACTTGCCCCACTCGCCTCTCCTCTCTCCTCCCCTCCCTCATCTCCCTTCACCTCCACATTCCCATCACCTCGTCTCCCAGTGCCCTGAAACCTTTCCTCCACCTCCCTCTCTCCCCTCTGCACCCCACCCTCTCCCGTGCTGCGCTCTCCCCCCTCCTCCCCCCCACGCACTGCCGCCACCCCTTTGCCAGCCACACCCAGCGCGCCCTCCTGCCCACAACCCACCGCCACCTCCCCGTGCGCGCCACCCTCGGCCCTGCGCGGCCCCCCCAGCACGTGCACGTGCGCCAGCGAGTGCGCCACGCGCAGCGCCTCCTTGACGGTGGGGCGGCGCACGGGGAAGGGCACCCGCCGCACACGCGGGTCGCGCACCGCCAGCACCGCCCCCGCCCCCGCTGCTGTGCCCCGACTCGCATGCGCCTCTGCCGCCGTGCCGAAGAGTGCAGCGCGGTTGGGAGCGGTGGCGTGCACGAAGATAAACTGTGCTCGCGCCAGGTAGGGCTGCCACTGCTGCAGCAAGGCGCGGATGTCCTGCGGGCGCGAAGGGGGAGGGGAGGAAGAGGAATCGGGGGGAAGGAAGGCGTTAGTTGAGGGCATGGATGCAAGGAAAACACGAAAGCAAGGCGGCGAGAGACGTGATGGTGGGTGGTGAGGCCCACCAGCCTCGTGAGCAGCCACGGCAACAGCCATCACCTCCTCGTAGCATGGCCCCCCCACCCCACCCCATGGCACCCCACCCTACCCCACCTTGACAAGCGCCGCCTCGTTGTAGCGCCTCAGGCTCGCCCCCGCTGACTGCGGCGCTCTGCCCGCCCCGTCCCTCGTTGCCTGCCGCCCACCCGCCTTGGCGCGCACCACGTACCTGATGGGGGACAGGGCGGGCAGGGGAAGGCACGGGTGGAGACGGCACGGGAGCAGACAGGGGCAGCCACGACCCTGGTCACCACTCCCCTCCCTCCCCGCCTTAACCTCATTCCCTTGTGCTCCAGCTCTCACATTCAATCTCGCCCCACCACCCATGCAGCTGTGCCAAGCACACTCTCCCCCCACACGGCCCCCCCTTCTCCTTTTCCCCCCACTACTATACCCCCCTCCCCCTCCCCCGCGCACCGGTGGAAGGAGCGGTGGGCGAGCAGGGCGCCGTGGGCAGCAGCGTCCAGCACCACGGCAGCAAAGTGCCCGCCCGAGCTCAGCACCACCACCCACACGCGCTGCCCCCCTTGCCCCGCGCCGCCCCTCTCCTCCCCCCCCGACTTCCCCACCAGCGTGCCTCCTCTCCCCGCCTCCACCTGTGCTGCACCACCGCCTGCCGTGCCCCTCAATGAATCCACCCCCCCGCACCTCCTGCTCCTTCCCCCATCCGTGTCCCCAGCCTCCGCGCTTCCCTCCCCCCCTCCTCTGAGTGCTCCCCCGTGCGCCCCCCCTGCGCCCTCCCCCAGCGCCACGAGCGCCTGCAGCAGGTCCGCGCCCTCCTCTGGGGGGACAGGGCGACACAGACGAGCAGCGGGGCAGGGGAGGACGGGGAAGGAGGGGGAGCAAGGGGGGAGTTGGGCACAGCAGGGAACCGTGGAGGTGGCAGGTGGGCACAGTGGGGAGGTGGGTACCGGGGGGGGGGAAGAGCGCACCTGGGGGGAAGAGCGCACCTGGGGGGAAGAGCGCGCGCCAGAGGGCGAAAGTGACGCCCGTGTGGGGCAGCACGAAGTGCACCTTCGCCCCCCGCCCCGCCCCTGCCGCCCTGCCCTCCCCCCCCGCTTGCTGCTGCTGCTCCTCGTCCGCGTCGTCCCCTCCCTCCTCGTCCTCCGACCCCGAAATGCTCGACCAATCATCGTCCTCCTCGCCTCCCCCCTCCCCCTGATGCTCCGCTGCCCCGCCCGCCCCGCCCCTCACAACAGCGCCCAAGGAATTCGCACTGCCCTGCCCGCCCCTGCGCCTTCCCCCTTCCCCCTCCGCCTCCCCCCCGCCCTCCCCCGCGCGCCTGGCGTCCAGCAGCGCGGCGAAGGCGTCCTCTGACAGCACTGCGCGCCCACATGCGCGGCGCTTGACCTGGGTGGGGGGGGAGGAGGGGAGAGACGAGGAGGGCACGAGGAGAGGAGGGAAGGGAAGGGGCAGCGGAGGAAAAGAGAATTGGAGAAGAGTGGGAAGGAACGGAAACGAAGGTGGGGTCATAGTGGCATGGAGGCATGATGGGGGCATGGGGGCAAGGGGCATAGGGGCAAGGGGCATGGCGGCAAGGGGCATGGGGGCAAGGGGCATGGGGGCAAGGGGCACGGCGGCACAGCAGGGCGGCGCACGTTGAGGCGGTGCCAGTCGCTCTTGAAGTGCGCGCGCTGTTCTGCCACGTCATCAAACGTCTCTCCGCAACACGAACACGTCAGCCCTCGCCTCGGACCGCCCAACCCGTCGCTGCCTTCACTCTCGCCCCTCCCCTCCGCGCCCTCGGCGCAGCGAGCGGTGACAGTGCGACCGCCGTCCGCCGTCTCGACGCCCGCCGGCTGCGCTGCCCCGCTAGGGCCTGGCGGAAGCGAGTCGGGGGCGGCGGAGGCGAGGAGGGCAGCGCGGAAGGGGAAGGGGCCCTTAGCGAACAGCGAAGGCGGAAGCGCTGCTCCCGCGGTGCCTTCACTGGGGGGCGCACTCGCGGCGCCGCGAAGCTGAGCGCGGCGTGAAGGCTTGCTGGCCATGGCTGACGGTCTCACCCTCCCAGCATACGATGCTAACCGATTCTGCTATTCGTCCGCCAGGATGGTGAGATTGTATTGTATTGCCATCAAAATTATTTCTAGTATTTCCATCTTATCTTAATATCAAATGTGTAACACTCTCCAAACCTGTGTATTGTGAATGGTTGTTACGAGGTAGCGAGGATTGCACTAAGGTGTCAAACGAGTACAAAATGTGAGCGAAGGCATGAGCGAACATTTATACGCGAAACATGCAAACGGTAACGCGGTGCGTGCGAGCTAGCTAGTGCTACGCTGGCAGTGAAGTTCGGGCTAGTCCCGAAGCGTAGGCCGACGCGGCCGGGCCAGCAGTACGTACGTGGTTTGGCAAAACAGTGCGCACAAAGTTGGCGAAGCCCCGTTAGCAGTAACGGGCGAACGACGGCTGCTGCTGTACGCGATGTAGCAGGTTTCCGTAAGGAATGGCGAGAAAATTCCTTACACTACCCCCCCCCCCCCCCCCCCCCCCCTCCCCCCCCCTCCCTCTTCCCCTCAAGAAGCCCCCTCCGCTACGCGAGTGCGTGTATATCGCGGAATCCCCGGCTCCTTAGGTACACTTGCAGGGCTAGGGTGGTTTCCAATGTTGGCTGACAGGGATGCTGGTTGACAAGGAGTGTCTTCGACCTGGTGAGGTCGACCAGAAGTGGTCGTCGACTTGGGTGGTCGACGGGCACGTGAAGGAGCATCTGGTCGATGTGGTTGCCCGGTCGACCAGGTTACCTGGGTAACAATGTTCTGCGGAGGCACACGGCGGTCGCCCAGTTGTTCATGGCGAGACCGACCTCGGTGGTGGTATCCCGAGGTCAAATGGCTGATCTGATGCATTCGTCAGCACAAGGTTGATTTAGTGTGTGCGCTGTGCAGGTGACAAGGCACAACACGCCAATCACCTGCGAGCACCTGCGAAGTAGGTGCACTGCTGTCATGCAGGAGCAATGCTATACCCCGTCGACCTGCAGCGTTGGCACACCGTCGCCTGTGCACTGCTGGAGCGCGGTCGACCAAGTCGTGCTGGAACGCGGTCGACCGTGCTGCGCTGGCAGTCGTCCTGCTTGCATGCTAGCTCTGATGTAGTCTTGTCTTGCCAACTTCATTGTATCAATCTTTTCAACCTTTCCTAGTGAAACTCTTGCCAATTTCCCCCCGTGAACTAGCAAGTAGTGTGAGCACTTGGAAACGACTAAGGAACGAACGAACGCAGAGATCACTCAAGCCACGTGCCTAGCCCGTAGTCTAGCTCCCGTTGTAGTAGTTATCTCCGCATGGTGCGGTGAGCGTGGACGGCACACGACTTACCTTTCAGTCTAGTCGACTTAGTCCCATTTGCCTAAGTTGTTTGTAGGCCGACAGCTGTGTGTTAGTCACCACCATGGTTGGCGTAGGTAACACTGGTGTTGTAGACGCCTTAGAAGCACGGCTGGAGGATTCGAGGAGCCACCATGAGGCGCGCGAGTACGGGGACATCACTTGGGCGGCTGTCGAGGCTGGAATTAACGCCGTGTGGGCGATGGAGCACCCTTCTTGACCCGCTCCTCCTCGTCCGGTGAACGACGAGGGTGGCGTTAACGTGGGCGTCAACGCCGGTGACCAAGTCGGCAGCAGTGCGGGAGGCACGTCGAGGCAGCGAGGTGTGATTCATGCCGATGAAGTCGGCGGCGTTCAGGCGCGAGGGATGCGGTCGTCGGCGGCTGCAGGGTTCTCGCAAGGCGACATTGGAGGTCGAAGAAACGGATTGCCGCCGTCGACGGTGACTCACGTGACAGTGGGAGGGATAGCGCCGAGCTACGGCTACTTCAATTTTACGCCCGACAGAATCCCGGTAACCCCCCTGCTAGTCGGTCGACCTGACATTCTCACGTAGAAGGAGGCAATAGAGCCTCAGCTGAAGATGGCTGGGCTGTTGGGCTTCGCCGCCGGCACCGTGGCGACGCCATCGGAGAACTACCCTGACCTGCGTACGGAGTTTCGTGTTGTACAGCCATTGACCTTCACGGTCATCTCGGGGTCCTGCTCGCCGGGCGTGCAGATCGCCCTGAAGCCGGGCACGGACTATTTTGACGCCGGCCCACCAGGCATGGCACTTCATCGAGTCGACATACTAGGTCACTGACGACCTGTACAACGGCCAACTCGAGGAGCAGATGACGCACCTGCGGATGGGCGAGCAGGAGACGGCGACCGACTATTGCAACCGGGCATGGCGATTTCTCAGGATGGAGTTCAGGGTTCCAAGCCTGTTTTATGGAATACGCCCTTGTTTTTGAAGCCTCGCGACCGTAACACAGAAGCTGGTGCTATGCGTCGAAAGCCTCAAAGCCCATGCGACAACATAACAACACAATTGACTGTGCGTTCTATTGGAATGAACTGCTGCTGCTCCTCGCGTTGTCAAACTATAAATGCTATATTGTGTAGGCTGTAGTGGGGTAGCCAATATGGGGTACAACCCCTCTAGGGTTTGATACTTGTACCCAACTCTCTTTCAATGCAATCCATTCCTGCCTAGTATTCTTGACATGGTTTCAGAGCAGTAGGTCCGTAGGACCGTCTCGTTTCGGGCCCACCTACCGTTGCGGTTACTGAGCTGCCCCACCTTGCCTTGCCTGTCTTGCCTGCGATGCACTTTACGCGCGCGCCCTGCCTTGGCTGCGCTGCGATGCCCACGCGCACTGCCTCTTTTTTTTTTTTCGCGCGCGCGCCGCTTCAGCCGCCCGCGCGCTCATTGCTGCCCCGCGCGCCGCGTCCGCCGCCTCGAGCAGCCCGCTGCTGCCCCGCGCGCCGCGTCTGCCTCCCGTGCGCAGCCCATTAAGGCCCCGCGCGGCACATCCGCAGCCCGCGCGGCCTACTCCGGCCCCGCGCGCCGCGCTTTCCGCCCGCGAGCAGCCCGCCTAGGCCACGTGCGCCGCGTCCGCCGCTCCTGCAGCGTGCTGCTGCACCGCGTGCCACATCCGCCTGTGTCTGCCGCAAGGGTTTAGGGTTTCCGCTGCTTTTCGCGCCGCTCTTGCCTACTGCCTGTTCATGCTGCCTGTGCCTGCTGCCTGTTCCTGCTGCCTTGGACTGCTGCTTCTGCCTGCGCTGCGATCATGGCGACACTTAATGTGCTCGCGTTTGAGCCTGATGGTTGCCCGATATGGTTTGCCACTTGGCTCGACGATCTGCAGCTGTTTCTTATGACTGATTTCAAAGACGGCGTTTCACTGTTCGATCACGCGTCTGGCACTGCCGCTGCTCCTGCTGACAGTGCTCCTGCTCTTGACCGCTCACAGTGATAGACTCGCGATGCTGCTGCGCGCCTCGCTATCCGCAACCACCTGCCGATCACTGAGCGCACGCATTTTAGTCATCACAAGACTGCTAAGGCGCTTTATGACGCTGTAGTTGCGAGTTATTCCTCCCCAGCCACTGCAGCCGTAGGTCGTCTCATCCTGCCCTACCTGTTCCCCGACCTGTCCTCGTTTACCACCGCTGAGGACCTTATCTCTCACCTCCGCGCTAGTGACGTCCGCTTTTGTGCCGCTCTTACAGACGAGTTCCTTGCCACGAACACCCCCCGATGTACTTTACCCTCTACATCCTCGTCACCCGCCTCCCTGACACTCTTAGCTCTGCCAGGGACCATTTCCTCGCCAAGGACCCTACCACTATCACTCTAGCCGACTTCGAGCAGCAGATCCTCGCAGCAGAAAAGAACATTCTCGCTGTAGGTGCTGCTCGTGGCACTCCTCGCACTCCCCTCTTTGAGGGGTGCTCCCCCTCCCCTCTTGCCCCCTCCTACGCCTCTACTGCTGCTGCAGTTGACTTTCTCGGTGCTGAGAAGGTCGCAGCGGCTTCCGCTCCTAGTGGGAAGCGCGGCGGTACCAGGGGCGGCAAGGGTGGCAGGGGTGGTGGAGGTGGCGGTGGAGGGAGCGGTGGTGGAGGCGGCGGGGGTGGTGGAGGTGGTGGGGGTGGTCGTGGGGGTGGAGGAGGTGGGTGTGGCGGCGTTGGGACCGGGAGTGGTGGAGGTGGCAGCGGCGGTAGTGGGGGAGGAGGCAGTGGTAGTGGCGGTGGAGGTGGGGGCGGGAGTGGGACCGGCCAGAAGGGGAGCTCCAGTGGTGGCCAGCTGCAGCAGCAGCAGCAGCAGCCGCAGCAGCAGCAGCAGCGCCAGACCCCCTCTTCTCAGCAGCTCCATGACTGGTATGCCAGGCATGGGGCGTCTGGGGGTCCTAGTCGCTGCCCCTGTGTCATTCGCGCTGGTCCCCGCAAGGGTCGCACATGCAACGGCCTTCATACTGAGTATCGCTGCTTCGCTCGTCTTAGCAACGCCTGGCGCGCCAAGTTTCATGATGCTACTTGTTGGTGCAACCCTACGGTTTGCACTCCGTTTGTTGTCCGTGTGCGTGTGCGTGCATGCGTGTGTGCATGGAGTGGTATGAGTGCATGAAATAAATATATATTTCATGCTTATAATGGTGTGTGAATGATGGGTCATAATGTCGAGTGTGTGTGTCGAGTCAATAGCGAGTTATCGCTAGCCGCGTGTTAATGCGGTCATTTGTGTCTCGCGCGCGGTTTCTATTTTGTCGTGTGTCCCGTGCACGGTTTCTATTTGTCCTGTGTCGAACGTTTGGCGTGTCGCAGGTGTGTGCAGCAGACCCATCAAGAACTCAAGGATGAGTTTTGTGATGAAGAACCCTTGCCTTGGTTCAAACTTGCCAAAAAGTGTTTTTTGAAGCTTGCCAAAAAGGCTACACCTCAAGATATTGAAGATAGTTACATTACAAAGTGTAGTGTAACATTTCAGTTGGTGTAGGCCCTTGTGAAGGGTAGTTTCGAGACCCTTCTTGGTTAGGGACAGTGTGGCACTGTTCCCCATCACTGTACCTTGGCTCTTGGGGTTTGTAGGAGCTGGGAGCCATTCCCAACTTCCAACTCTTCCTAGTTGTTCGTAATTGTGTTCTAAGACTATCTTGCTGCCATAGTGC